CGTGGAAAGGTGTGGTAGTAGATGTGGGATGCGACGAAGAAAGTAATAGCGCGTCTTTCTATATTTTTTTTTGATGAGGTTGCGAATGAGGAGAGGAAGGTAAAGGCACGTTTCAGCAGCGAAGCAGACGGCGCTGTAAATAGGTGTTGGGATGGGATGAAGCTCGAGTGATGTCATCTGGAGCTCGTCGTTCGCCTGTGCTCTGTGGGGCGGCTGCAGTGCACAGAGACAGAGACAGAGACAGACAGAGACAGACAGAGAAGCGGGGAGGGACCGAGCTCCAGTGCCTACATGGTAGTACAGGCCCAGTACAGGAAGGCACGTGAAGCCGTGATTCACCTGCACGCCACCCTCCATTCCTCTTTCGCTGGCCTCCTCTACCTCCAATGATGACGTTTGCGGCTGCCGACGGGCCAGATCCTCCGACCACTCAGGGATGGCGGACATCTCGCCAGAGTTCGAGACCTCGTTGGGGGCGCGCGCCGGCCGGACAACAGCCGGGGCGGTGGCCAGCCGCTCGGTGATCGAGCATCGGTGATGATGACTGGTGTGGGCTGGGGCCCTCGATGCAGGAATGACGACATGTGATCTCGTGGCTGGCACAACCGTCTCTCCTTTCTCTGGGGCGAATGCAACAAGACGCGAAGAAAGGTATGGAATGGGCTTGTGGCACCCTCGATGGCCTGTTTTGGTCATGTCCCGGGGGATAGGCCTTGCGGTGGTTTCAATTCGACATCGGACGTTTGGCTCGGCATCTGGCTGTCTCACTGGTATATTTAGCTGTCCATGGGGCATGAAACCGCACGAACTGATCAACCTCGGACCTGATGCTCGTCCTTCTTGAGACCATTTGGTACCGTCGAATGGCCTGGAATCTGCCTGCTACCAGTCTTTTGTGTCTGCTGCAGTCCCTGAAGCAACCACTAATTCATTTCGTATGCAGCGTGGCAATTGAAGTCATCGTGCAAGCACAGCTCACACCCTCATGTTGTATCATCGTGATAGCTAGACTACCCAAATCTGGCCATGGACGGCCCTATGTACAACCTCGTGTCCCTCGTCAGTTCTGAGTTTACCGCCCCTGGAAAACGGGCTTCCTCTTCTCTTGGAACGCCTTGAGTGCTTCGTTCCTGTCGTCCGTCGCGACGACGCGCTCGTACATCTTGTTCTCGACCTCCTCGCGCGCCCAGCCGACAGCCTGCAGCGCCGCCCGCACAGCGACGGGCCCGCCCTCGCAGATCTCCGTCGCGACGCGCACGGCCTCGCTGAGGACGCCGCGCCGCGCCGTCTCGAGCATGAGCGTCTGCTTGGCGCCGTCGGCGGGGCTTCTCGCCCTCCTTGTGGCCCGGCACGTCCTTGTCCTCGGGGAAGGGGATCTCGACGAGGCGGTCGGCGATGCCGAGGAAGTAGGCCTCGGGGGCCGACACGCGCGCCCTGTGAGGATGAGTCGCGGGCGCGCGAGA